GGATTGAACCGCGGTCCCTGTGCTTTGCCAAGCTTGTTTCAAGTAGGTGCTTTAGACCACTGAGCCATCTCTCCAGCCCCTCACTCTTGTAATGTTGTAGTAAGATCAGATGTGCCAGGATCATCGACATTGGCATCAACATTGGGAGACCCACCAGTGTCCACATGGTTTTGGAGTCTCTTTGCTTTGCCACTCCCACTACCTCCCACCCCAACAGACTGCGAGACACCCTGTAGGTCTTTATCCTAGTCACTCTCCTGAGTGGGCTAGGGAGAGATTTTTCTCTACTATCCAGAGTTCTCTTCATCTAACTTGACTAAAATAGGCCACCCAAGTTATTTGTTGTTTTCTTCAACTCATATCACAATATGGTTTTTGTTTCAGAATCAGCTGCAAACTGGAATATACCAACAGGTGTACTCTTATTTCCTGTAACTGGCGATGTTCAAGCAACAAAATCGGTAAGAAACACTTTTCTTACGGTGCTAGAGATAGGACTCGGGGCCTCACGCATGCTAGACAACACACTCTATAAATATTTTCCTTTTGCACTAAAATGTATTCTGCACTTAGATCCTCACACAGGCTTAATGCAGGGCCCAAACAATGACACCAGAATCAATCTCTTGGGGCTACTATTTCTGAATCCATTTTGTTTTGGATCTGCATGGAAGCCTCCACCTACCAAATCTTTGTTAATTCCTTCCCTGATAACAGCCAGCCCACACTTGTTCCACATCCCCATGCCTGAAGCAAGTCAGGGTGCAGACTGCGCTGCTGCCTCAGCCCGTGCCTGCCCTCAGCTTATGCGTTTACATACATAACTGGTTCTTGTTTGGTTGGTTGGTTGGCTGTTTTGGTTTTGGTTTTGTTTTGTTTTCTGGAACCGGGGATCAAACTCAGAACCTTGTGCTTGCCAGGCAGGCACTTTTGCCACTGAGCTATATCCCCAGTCCCTTATAACTGGTTCTTTTATCTCCACACAGAATGATCTGCTCATAGTAAGCTGAACCTAACATAACTGAAGCCAGGCAATATTCTGAATGAAAGCAAAAACATTCTTTAAAACTGTCTTATGAAATACTGAGCTGAAGACATCCTTATGATTAAGAAACCAAGTAGAATTAGTCTTCTTAAAACGTCAATTATCCCTTCGGAATTTTCACCAACTGCCTTGAATTAACAAGTGCCAGAAAGGCAAAAATTCAGGGATTTTGGTCATTGCTCTAATCAACTCATTAATAAACCTGTTGCATGCAAAAATGAGTCTCTTGTCTTCAATTCTAAAGGATAGAGATCTTTTTTTCTATTATTAGTCAAATAACACACTTAGGACCAAAGAGAAACCCTAATGATGTGAATGACAAGGTAACAAAACCCACTTACTTAGTGCACTGAAGAATAATTGTAAGGATGATGAAGACTGTTCTTCCGGTGTTTCTGTCCCTTTCCACTCTGATGACAGTGTAGATTTGGAAGGTCTGCCAAAAGCCCATGTGTTAAAGGCTCTTTTTGTTTCCTAACATGATGCCATCAGGAGGTAGTGAAGATTTTCAGAAATGGCGCCAAGCAGGAGGGCTGTGGGGTTCTGGGGCACACCTATGAACAGGAGGTTAAGGTAGGAGCCTGGAGACCAGCCTAACTTGCCTCACAGCAGAGGGCAGCACCCCCAGATAACAAAGGCCAAACCACACTATTACCTTCAGATTTCTGCCTAGACCTAAAATCTTGCTTTCTCCAAACCCAGGACCTCTTACCTTCCAATCCTGCTGTGGTTAAAAGTATAGTACATGCCATTTTCATAGCCAGACACCTGGAAATCATTCTTGAAGCCCTCCTCTCACCAACATACCAAATCCTGTTTGTTGATTCAGCTCCTAAAGCATCTGTCCCAGCTGGGCATGGTGGCACACACCTATAATCCCAGAACTCAGGTGCTCTAATTTTCTGAGCTATCTGGCCGGCCCTTCAGGGTCCATCTTGTACTGAGAATGTTTGTTACTGTTCTTCAGCATTTTAGTTAAAAGGCATTTATAGGCGGTGAGTGCTGAGCGGGGGTCAGGGGCGCGATGTCGGGGGGGCGGGCTCTGTCCTGGGAGGCCCACGCGGCCGGCGCTGAGCACCCCCGGGACCGGAGGCCAGGGGCGCGCGAGGCTCCTGCGCCGCTGCGCTGTCCGGGGGAAGAAGGGAATTTAAACTTCTGAGAGTGCCTTCAAACCAAAGAAGACAGCTGCCAGCCGGGGTCACCTGAAGTTGATTGGCTCCGGGGACAGCTAGAGATCGCTGTTCAAGCATAAGTTTTCTTAGGACCGCTACACAGATGTTTGATGTAAAGGCTTGGGCGGAATACGTAGTGGAATGGGCTGCAAAGGACCTGTATGGTTTCCTTACAACCGTTATTTTGGCCCTTACTCCACTGTTCCTAGCAAGTGTGGTGTTGTCGTGGCCAAGATGATTGAAGCCCGGGAGAAGGAACAAAAGGAGAAACAAAAACGTCAAGAAAATATTGCAAAAGCTAAACGACTGAAAAGAGAGTGAAGGGATGAATAGACTCTAAAAGCAAAAAAAAAAAAAAAAGTCATTTGGGAAATTACACAGCTTTGGAAGGACCCCATAAGGTTCCTTTGCACTTTATGGAAGTTATTACTGTCCATGTAGAAGAATCATTCTGGAATCTGACCTCGATACTGTAGTAACTTTTAGGCCTGGGCATAGATGTTTGTTGGTGACCACTGGCATTTAGTATACATTTGTAATGAGCATCACTGATGTCGAACCCAGAATACTCTGGAATCCCAAACTTTGTGCCCACGGATGTGGTGCCGCGAGTGGACAACTCCACAGCTGACCTCTGATGGTTCTCGAGCAAAATACAAAGGCACTAAAAGCATTTTTCCAGGCTACAGAAAACATGATAGCTTCAGGATGTCTTATGTATATGCAAATACTCCAAAATGTGAAAACATCTAAAACCTTTCTGGTTCCAGGCATTTCAGAAAAGGAATATTCAACCTGTAGTACAAATTCTTTGGCACTCACTTAGTGATTTGCCATTTTTTAACCTATGTTCTAAAATACAAATACCCTGTGGAAACAAATGACTTTTTTAATTTGATAATGGTTTAAGAGTCCTGTACTTTTAAGAATGTTAAAGTCAAATTTGCCCTCTTTGAAGTGAAAGTTTGCTTGGGCTTAAAAGAGACAGTATATTAATCACATGTTTCTTTTTAAATCATTACTTCCTGGAATCATTCTAACTTTTTCAGAGCAAAGTAATATTAACAAGTACATCTATTTCTGATTTTAGCTTTTCAGACAACTGGTTATCATCAAGACATTCTGCATTGTTTTTAAACCTATTTTTTGTCTTGTTTATGTTGTCTTGTTTTGTCTATGTATAGTTCCATCTACTAGATGTAATGATTTTTGTACTTATAAATACTGCCTCTTTCTTAGAGATGAGTTGTTGAGTAACGCTGATTTAACACTTGCAGTAAAAATGCCAAGCACTGTAATACCTTGCAAGCATTTTTTCTTGTGCTAAAACTGAAATATTCCACAGTTAAAGTGTCCAAGTTAATATTCCAAGTCAAAATGTATTATCAGATAACTTGCTCATTATATAGATAACACTTGTTTTCTGTTCCATTCTTTGTTTTAACTTTCATGGTAATGACGTCCTGTACTTCTGCTCAGACAGGTTGAGGTGAAGATTACTACTCTGTTTTTGTTTAAGGAGCTCTGAAAGAGCTCACATGTAAGCCATACTGCCTAAGTGGTAAAGACCGAAAAGTAGGAAAAATTTTGTTGGGCATAACAGTAATTGCACAAACAGGATAAATTATTTTAAAATAAGGATGTACTATAGTTAGGTCTAGACTAAAGGATTTTTCAATTATTAACTATAACCAGAACTTTCAACTATTAAACATGACTTTTCTAGATGCATAATTCAGTAATTTTATTTTTTTAATTTTAATTTTTATTTATTTATTTATTTATTGTGTGTGTGTGTGTGTGTGGCCAGCTCAGCCCACCAGGGGGCGGAGCTGGCTGGCATGTGGTGCTGGGGGATTGAACCGAGGTCCCTGTGCTTTGCTAAGCTTGTTCTAAGTAGGTGCTTTAGACCACTGAGCCATCTCACCAGCCCATCAGTAATTTTATTTACTGTAGCATTTAATACCTTATTAATGTTTACTGTACCTCTAATGATACATTGTAAGTCATTATCCAACAGCTCTAATTTAAAAATTAAATATGAAATAAATTTGATACTTTATTTAAAAAAAGGCATTTATAGCAAGTTTTGAAGTTTTATCATTATCCTCATCATTACTACTTTATAGTACTGTGGATGCCATCATGGTAACCATGGTCTTCCACATGCGAAGTACATGTTTCTATCACTGAGCTACACCACTGCCCCTTAAAGTTTCATTTTAAGTAACTTCTGTTTCTTCAATATTTATTTGTAGTTGGGTGTTTTGGCACATGCCAGTAATCCCAGCACTTGGCAGGAGGATTGCTGCGAGTTAGAGGCCAGCCTGAACTACAAAGCAGGATCTTGTCTCAAAAAAAAAAGAAAAGAGAAATATAAGAAATAAAACCATGCTGCTATGTTGAGCTGTGGGGGACCCAGGTGAACAATTTCTGACATTGCAAGTTAAGCAGAAGACCTAATACTATTATGGGCTACTGGACTCTTTTAGAATATTTTGCTGCGTTTACACACCTATAATATTCAAATAATGAAACTTAACAAAAAAAGGGTATACAGATGAATGTCCATTTTGTATCTGTGTATTCAAAGTGGTTGGGATAGATATATAGTTACATTCTGTTAACGAATAGAATGATTTGTTCTAATGGTGTTTGTAAATAGGATGTCAGGTCCACATCTTGTACAGCAATTAACCACTAAGAAGAATGTATGCAGTGTGTTAATTATTGAAACTGTCCTAGCGATTTGATTTGAAAAAAAATTTAATGCATACATGTGGTAAAAAAAAAAATCCAAATAACAAACAGTACTTATCTATAATCAGTTTTCTTTTTCGTATTGCTAGTCTTTTTTTCTTGTCTTTTTTTTTTTTTTTTGAAACAGTCATGCTATATAGTCCATGCTGACCTTGAACTCATTTATGTAGCCCAGGATAGTCTTAAACTCATGATAATTTTCCTACCTCAGCCTCCAGAGTGCGGGATTATTAGGCAGGCACCACCACACTCAGCAAAGCTAGTCTTCACTTCACCGTAGTAAGTATACAGTTCAGTGATTATTTTGGATATTCACAAGGGGTTGCAGCTGACATCAATGTCTCACTCTAAACAACACTGGGGAGTAGGAATTTCTGCAAACTTTCTGTAACCCCCAGACCCAGTCCTAGCCCAGGTCCGGTGAGTGTGTGGAGAGCTTCCTGCTAACCTGCGTCAGCGGGACCAGTCCAAGCCCAGGCGCAGCGTGGGCCGGACCCTCTCCCAGCCCCTTGGGCCGCCCCCCACCACTCCACCTTACCTCCCCCACCCCTCCCGCCAAGTAGGAATTTCTGCCGAGTTCCGAGAACCCCCAGACCCAATCCTAGCCCAGGTCCGCAGCGGGAAGGAGCTGAGCACAGCAGCCAGACCTAAGCCAGACGCAGCTGGATAA